AGCTACTATCATTACCCGATGGAACTGAAGACTTACACATTGAACAACAAAAACAGACCAGAGAGGCTCTGGTTGGCTTACACGTTGAACCAGAAGCTCTGGTTAGTATAATCAGAGGCTCTGGTCGAGGAACCAGAAGCTCTGGAAGAGAGACCAGAGGGGTTCTGGTCCTAGTTATTGAAATATATTTCAAGTGTGGTTTGGAACCAGAGGCTCGATGGACCAAAACAGAATCTGATTTTTATTCTGCATGTTGTGAAATGATTATTTGATAAATGTTTTGGTGATCTTCACCCTGCATTACATAAAAGGGAACCTCACTAGACATTCATGTCTAACCCTCATTTCGTGTTTTCAAAATATGTGTGCAGGTAAAGATAATAAGGAAAAGAGTATTATGTGAATTACTTTCCTATGTGCTTAGCTGTTTTTGGAAGTATAGATGCTAGGATGCAAGAACATGTACTTTTGAAATTTTTGGGTTGCGTATTTTACATTAAAGACTTTTGTATTATGGACCTATGTGGGAGAAGACATGTATTCTATGTATAATATATGTGTTATATGCAATGTATGGAGTGGGGGTGTTACAGTATGGTTGGAATCGCACCACACATAATAGTGGAGTATGCGTGAGAGGGTTGGATGAAGTCCTCGATATAGAATATCATAGGTAGAAATCGCACCATACATAATAGTGGAGTATGCATGAGAGGGTCTTGTTACTCAGATTACGAGGCCGACTACTATGGATTGTTGGATGAAGTCCTCGATATATAATATCATGGGTATGATCTCGGTCACTATGTTGTCCCACTATTCAGATGCACATGGTTTGATATAGTTAACGGCGTCCGAGTTGACCCAAAACATAATCTCGTGGACGTCAAACATAGATCATGACTTCATTCAGACTACCCGTTCATCCTAGCATCACAAGATGAACAAGTCTATTATGTATCACATCCATTGAATTCATTAAGAGATTGGTGGTATGTGGTGAAGACAAAGCTAAGAGGGGTCTATGACTTAGCATCGAGTACCCCTGAAGTACTGTCGGATGAAAATATAGACGATGAACAGTTTTTCCAAGAAAATGATAGAATAACCCAACATGAGGGAAACGAAGATGTTCAAGAACCAATCCATCTTGTCATAGGGGAAGACGACATCGAAGTTGCCAACGATCGTCGCGACAACTGGCACGTTGATGAGAGTAGTGACGAAGAAGAGGAGTTCAAATACTCGGATAGTGACTCTAAGAACGAAGAACTTGACTTGTCTGATCACTCATCAGATGATTAAATTCTCATGTAAATTTTAGTCTTAGTAAACTTTGTGTAGTTGTTTTAAATTTTTATTATTTCCATTTTGAAATCTTAGTAAACCATTGTTTGACATCTATTATTGTGTGGAATATTTACTGTATACTTAAATTATTGTTGTATGTTTTCTAATATTGCTTTGTAGAAAATCGATAATGCCGCGTACTCGGATTACCGGTCGAGGTTGAGGTAGTACATCTAGCCACGGTACGGGTAGAGGCTCTAGTACTGCTTCGGCACACCAGGAGGCGATAGAGTCAGGTCGTGGTAGTGCTGCTCCGAAGCCGCTTCCGCAATAGCAGACGGTTATTGACATCCGCGGCAAAGATTAAATACATTTACATCTTTTAATTGATAAAAATATTTTTTGTATTGATGCTAATTCAATTCGTTAATTATATAGTTTCAGTGACACCAGAGTAATCCGTCGAATCACCAAGATCAACCGAGAGCTGCTTGACGGCCCTTGGATCAGTTGGGAAAAAATCCCAAAGGACTTGAGACGCCGAATGTGGGAGCGGTTCCAGGTTTGTGTTATATATTCAACTTATTATATTTTTTCTATTGTTTTGAACCTAAGAATCGCCTAAACTTTTACGTACAGGGCTATTACACTTGGGATCCGGCTTTGGACGCCCAGATCCTGGAGACATGGGAGAGAAAGTCGGCTAAGCCATATAATGACAACATGATTGCCGCGAGGAAGAAAGTTGGGGAAAAAGCAAAGAGGAATGGGTATCCTCAATACGATGACATCGACCCCACCGGGATATGAGTGTTGAAGAACTTCCCCCTAGCTAGATATCTTCAGATGTGTGGATCCAGATGGTCGATCGTTGGAACAATGAAAATTGGAAGGCTGTTTTCGGTGTGGCGCATGAGAACCGTGATAGCCAAGTTGTGCTACACACCGGTGGATCGATACCATTTTCGGAGCATGGTGCTCGTCTGGTAGGACCTAAAACCCATTAATTTAGTAGCTTGATTTTTAATATGTTATAATTAACACATGTTCGTATTATTTGACCTTTGTAGACACGAGCAAAAGATGGCGTGCCCCCGACCGTTGTGGAATTGTTCGATTATACGCATAAGAAGAGGTCGGGTGGAAATGGTGCATCTACGGATTCTGGGGGGTACGTGACCTCTAAGTGTAGCCAATTCATGGTAAGTATATCTATCTATTATAATTGGATACATAACTATAGATCTAGGTTGGGCAAACGTTCGAGTCGTTTAATTTAAAATTTAGTTTGGGTTACCATTTGTTGGGCAAACATTATGATTGTTTAAGTTAGAAATTACGTATATATCATTATTTAGTTTGGGTTGCATTTGTTGGGCAAACGTTAGGATTGTTTTAGGTACAATTTTCGTATCTATCACTATTGTTTTGCTTGGAAACGTCTCATTTACAACCGTCATGCTGTCAAAATTGACTTGCAATCTTATTTCAACCATATATAGAATGACTATTCAACGAGTTTCACCCAAAGATACGGCGATGATCCCTCCACTTATCCCTTAGTTGATAAAGAGTTGTGGGAGCATGCGATTGAGATAAGCAAGAAAGGCCGTCTATTTGAGTTTGGGTACAACCAAGATCCCAATTGGGTCTTGACTGGAAACTACACAGAAGGTGGTTCATCGTCTTCAGAGGGTCGGGTATGTGTCTCTTTTGCTTTGATGATGTTTGTCGATTTAGCTTATAATTCATATTAAATATCATAACGTTTTATTTATTTTATAGGAAATTGAAACTTTAAAGACCCAACTTAGAGACTTACAGGAACAAAGTCAACGCCAACGGATTGCGGAGGAGGAGCGATGGCGGGCGGCGGCGGAGCGGAGGAGGAGCGAAGAGATAAACAACTTGAAGATATGGCTGCTTTGGTTAGACAGCTCAGTCAATCTCAACATTTTCTCCCGCCACCGTATTGAATATTATCTGTTTGTTTGAAACAATTTAGTTTTTGTTTGTAACAATTTAGTTTTGGACCAATTTAGTTTTTGTTTGGTTGAGATAATTGTCGTTTACTTTAATGTATGATATTTAGTTGCATTTCGTATTTTTAATATTTTCCGGACTTACAGGTTTTAAATACAGGTTTTAAATATTAATTGTAAAAATAATCTAAAATAAATATTTATATAGTTTTCTAGCTAATTTCCAGCGAATATATCTGCCGATAATATTTTAAATTTAAAAACATATTTTTTTTAAAATTAGTTTTCATTTTCCGGCGGAAATGTTACCGGCGGATGTGTCCGCTGGTAAATTAATTGATTTTTTTAAAAAAATCTTAAATATTTTCTTAATTTAATCACGATTTTTTAAATAAACCTGCAAGAAGTTCCTGGTGACTGGGATCTGCCGGAAATTGATAAAATCCACTGGTGGCTACGTCGGAAAATAAATCACCGGCGCCAATTTTTCCGGCGGCCCTATCCGCCGGATATCTTAATTTTCCGACGGATAGGGCCGCCGGAAATAACCCCTTGTTTGGTAGTGTTAGAAGGTTGGGTTGGATGGATTTCACGGATTAATGAATTATAAAGGTTGGGGTAGAAAAACTTGGTGGAACTCAAGATCCTAATATAGCCGTGGGGAAGAAGAAACTTAGAGGAACTCCGGATCCAGATTACAGCTTCAATGGAGTCGTTGGTAGAACTTGTTGGAGATGGTGACTGACAGTGGGAAGGGGGAGGGGTGTTGGTGTTATTGGGTGCTCTCGTTGCTCTGACTAAAGTTTTGGCTACGTTTTTCTAGAGAAATTGACTGGCGGTTGGAGATAAGGGCATTGTGGTTGATCAGGTGTGAGGGGTCGAAGAGGGCGATAGGCAGTTGGGGGTGAACCACTGAATCTCATCATATATATTAGACCAAATTACATTTTTAGTCCCTGTAATAATGTAATTTACAATCATTAAAAAAAGATAAAGTAAAAAAAAAAAACTAAAATACTTCTCATCTAACAAAATTGTTTAACGATCATTAGAGAGAGAGACCAAATTTGAACATTTTTGCAAACCACGATGGTATATTGTAATTGCGAAACTATAAGGACGAAAAGATAACGCACGATTTACCTTTCTGACTCCTCATGATGATTGTGGGGATGATACATTGTGAACGTTCCGGATAATCGTGTTATACCATTTTTTTTAGAATTTGCAAGACACAAAACTTTTCAATTATTTCACTCGAGAACTCTCAGATAGATGAAACGCTAATATTTACTTCAAGAAAAATCGCAATCTTAAGCTCAAAATATTTCTAGTTAATATGTTGTTTTTATAACATAAAAAAACTCAAATCACTAATGACAATTTACATGAGGTCTTTGACATACTACATATTTAGGCGTGTTTGGAATTGCTTATTTAAAACAACTTATGTTTTTCTATAAAAACACTTATCAACTTATTATAAGTTAGAAAAGTTTAACATTTTCAAAAACTTCCTATTACCGGTTTGACACCGGTATAAGTTGTTTATCTAAACACTCAAAAATGTTTATTACCGGTACCATAATTTAACAACAATTTTTGTAATTATATTAAATATATCAATTGTCTTCGATCTACTCAACCATTAATTTTGAAATTTGTAGATTCCAAAAAGAATTTTTTGTATTTTGATAGATATCGAAGTGGGTCCATTTTATTTGGGGCGAAATCAACGACTGTCGGTAATGGATACCGTAGACCTGGTGGTTTTAATGGCGGTATGCTTGGAAGAGACGACGGGTAACGTTAATGCTACTACTACTTATCTATTCCCCTTTTTTGCCAAAATCCCAACAGTTCTATCTGATTCCCTCTTAAACCCTAACCCTATGGAGTTCCTTTTTTTTCACCTAACGTCGCTCTGATTTGCTTTCAAGGTGATCAATTCTCCAGATCTTTGCATCTTGGTTTTTTTTTTGCTAAGCTTGTTGATTTTAGCAGAATTAGGTTTTTTAGATTTCATCAATTTCTTAAATCTTTCGAGTGATTATGCAATTGTTTGTGTATTTTCATGATTTGGCTGAGTTAATGATACTATGCGTGGATGACGATTGACGAGTGAAATAGACCAGTCGTCATCCTATTATCCCTTAATAGTCATATGGATTTTTCTTGTTGAATGTCTTACTTTAGTCACTTGGATGCTATTCTGTCATAAGTGTTTGCTTGTGATCAGTTTTCCATTGGTTGTGACTTGTGAATGTTCCAATCTTTCCAATGTTATTGGAAGATAGACATCGAAAATTGAGTAAACTATGTAGCTTTGCACTATTTACTTTGATATTCTTCTTGTGTGCACTGGTGTATTTTTTGTGGCTTAGGATGGTTTACCAATGCATACATACACAAAATTTGCAAAGGCTGAGATATCAAAAGAATACTACTCAAGTAGTAGGCAGATTATGCTCTTGGTAGATAGATCTGCCTAAACGATTGATGTTCCATGCTCTGCAATTTCATTTCCATGCCAAGTGTGTGATGCCAAATCAAGTAAACTGAATTGGAGATGACTGTGTGGAATGCTGCCTTTTATCCCCTCACATTTATTGGTTATTTTATTTATTATGTGGGTACAAACTTTGCCATGTTATTGATCTCTTTCTGGCATTTTGCTGATGAATTAATATTGCTTGTTCAACTTTAGGCTGTGCCTGCAGTTAAGCCCTGCTTTTACCATGGAAAGTCTTGGAAAATTTAGCTTCAGGGATATGAACCAAACCATGAGGAAGAAGAGGAGTGATCGACGTCCAAGAAATGATATTCAGCCAGAGAATGGCAATTCACCATTGTCATCTTCTCCGCCTTCAAACAACGGAAGCAAAGGACTAAGTGATGATAATGTGGGTCATGATACTAATTATCAGAGGAAAATACTTGATATGGACCAGTGCAGTTCACGGGCTTCCTACACTAACCTGGCTGATGCTGAGATGGCCCCAGATGTTGGTTCTGAATTTGAAGCTCAGGAAAGTAGTGATGATAAGGACGCTAGTCTGGACACTAGTGAAGTCTTTGCATCTAATTATAAAGACACAAAGTATGATACCCCCACAAGTGATGGTCATAATTCTGGGTCATTGGAAGCAGATGCAGATGCAGATGCAAAGGGAGTTGATAATGTAGTGAAGAAAGTAAAGCTTAAAGTTGGGGGTGTAATACGTACTATACATGCAAAGCCTTCAGCTGATGTTGTTGCATCCTTGAAGCCTCCACAACACTCCACTAGCAACCGTTTAAAGCAGAAACTGATTTCTCAGGTAAGTTATGCTGCTGCTTTTGTATTATATCATGTGTGCAAATTTTAAAATTATCACATATTCTTCTTCATGGTTTAACTTCAGTGGTTCACACACACATATATATGCACGTATATGCACATGTAAAACACATACATACATGATACATGCATACATACACATACGTATTGGCCTACTTTATTGAAACATGAAGTTCTATATGCTCTTTTGACATAATCATGAGGTTTATTTGCTGTGAACATAACTGACGTCAGAATGTTGCATTTAATATGTACTTACTGTAGTTGGAGCATTTTTCATTTTAAAGGTCAATGCCCATTCAAGAAGTTGAATCATCACATACTCTTACCAAGCTTGTTTATATCATAACTCTCTACAACAACACAACTACTGATTCTGAATTCCGTATCCTTGCTAACAGACGTAGATGAACTAACCAGAGTGATTCAGATCTTACCCTTATAATTTGACTAGTCATTGCTTTTAGATGTAGGCTAGAAAAGTCACTACCAGCAGTTGTCATGTTGAAGTCGTGATATCTTTCAAAATTTTACTTTGTGGCTTCTTTTGTGGACTAACACGTCTTGAATGCAACCCCCGGCCCTCCTCTAAGGGTGTGTTCTTGAGTTTAAATGATGGAAATAAAGAAATTATTTGGAAAGAAATGGAGCTAACCTAAACAAAAAATTCGTGCTCACGAGTTTTTTAGGAGAGAAAGAAAGAAACGAGAGAGTTTTGACTAATTTATCTCCACAACTTTCATCCCAAACGCCGGAAGATTTGAAAGGAACATGGAAGCATTTATAAACTTTTTAATGAAAAAACTACTCTTTACCTAGAATTAACCTAATTACCTAAATGTGGGTATAATTCCTAAACTATTAGCTCTTTTTTCCTTTTCTTTCCAACTTGAGAACAAAAAAGGCAATTATGAAACAACACTTCCTTTTCCTTCCTTTCCAACTTGAGATCAGGCAAAAAAATTATGTCACTTCCTTTTCGTTTTTCTTCTTCCCTAACTTACACCCGCTATTCGTTTCTCCTCTTCTAACTTACACCTTTTCTCTTCTTTCCTTTCCAAACTCGAGAATATAGTGTAAGTGGGCAAGATGCCAACATAGAGAAGTCAAGAAGCAGTAGGTGTTGGAGTTCTAGATAATGTTGATAGCATATTTTTAGTACTTGGCATCATAAAGGCATTAGCAATCCTACTAATATGATAATTAAATGTCAGTTGTTATGAAATCTGGTTTTTATTCTCTAGCATTCAAAATCTTCACTGTCGTCTTTATTTAGATTCCCTGAGGGCTCTCCCTTATATTTTCTTGTAGTTTATTTTCTTCAAGGGTCAGATTAAATGGGAATATTTAGCCCACAATTTTTTTTTTGCAATACACTATTTTACGCTAACCAATTACATTGGATTATTTTGTGAAAATATTTGTTGTTTTATGGATTCTTGCTGTGGAGCATTTTAGTTTGTTTAGTTCAATGGTTGTTTTGGAATGAAGTGCTGCCTGAAATTTGGACTATTTGTTGAGAAGGTTATATATTACCGTTTGAGAAAATAAAGTTTCCAAAAGAGCCTTCATTCATCCCACACAACCCATTCGACCATCACTATCGTTCCCACACAAATACACAGCTTGATTAACACATGATATTAAAATATCATTTAATTGTAAATTACAATAATGCGAACCAATGTAAACGATTAACATATTTTATAAAGGCCACACATAACAAGTACTAGGTAAACAGGAACCGGTAACGAAGTCAGGTGTGACTCCCAATTAATAATGACATGACAAGCCAAGACAAATAAACTAAATATTGTTGTTAGCCACCATCCTCACTAATGCTTCACAATCAATTTCGTTGAGCCTAAGGAAAAATCTACATTGTGCTATTGTTGGTGAGAAGTTGCAACACCCTTAAGCTCCCCAAGCACTGATCAAGACATGAAGGTATTGAGACGTGTTGGACCGTTGTAAAACATCCTATGGCTTGCTACTGAATGACACAAGCGGATGGCAACGTTTAAATTCAACATCGAGTCTTCAAAATGTTCCTTTTTGCTAGGAGGGTGGTGGTGGGTCTTTGGGGTTGTGTGTGCATTGGCGATAAATGCACCTTAGCTTTTATGCATGCACATAAGCAATTAGATTGTGTCATGCTCCATGTTCTTCAAATACAATTACAAACCACATGACATCTTAAAGCAATGTACGATTAAATGCTCCTCGAGCATTTACATATTCCAACTTGTGTCATTATCAGCTTGGAGGAGAAAAATTCATAAGCAAATTAGCAAAGCAAAGAACTTACAAAATAAATTTATTTAATTTATTCTGTATAAAATTGCCCAATCTGGAAGGTTCAGAGAGTAACTAATCCCATTTAATTTGGTGTTTTAAATGAACTTGGCCATGGGGTCGTATCTACTTAGGCAAATCTAGACCTATCAAACCAAGCATGGTACCATTTTATTAGGAAATACCAAAAGATCCACTCCTTTCTTCACCGCTTAAATAAATGCACCTCAAATTTGTGTGGTGAGTTCCACATTTGCGTTTCTGTTGCACTACCTGGATCAATTATCTTCTGTGAAATGAGTGTCATAAAACTCCTATTTTCTTGGACTTGGCTGAAAATTTTCTTGTGTATTGAGCAGGGGAATCTACACGAGGAGAAGGGAAGTGGCTTGCGAGGGATCCCATGGAAGGATTTCTCTGGAAGTGGTTTTTCTGTTGGGAAAGTTGATTCTTCAAGGCGCACCATAACGGAAGAAATCAGAGGTATAAAGAATTCAGAAAAGCATGATTCAGTTCATAAGAGTAAGCGCGTGCCTAGGAGACGCTTATTAGATGATGGTGATAATGATGATGATGAAGATGATGCCGAGTTGCGTTACCTTGCAAAGATGAGATTGAAATCTGCCAAGGTTGATGACGAAGATGAAGGTGGAAGCAAGAAGCAACGGAAGATTTCAAGTGTTCTTAAAATGGAGAGTTTTGGGTCATCACGAGAGGGGAAAAAGTCCAAAACAGGGAGAGAATCCGAAGATACTGATTACACAGGAGAAGAACGAGCATCTGGTGAAGACTCTAGTAGAGAAATGACAGTCACCACACGTCGGCAAGCCCTTCATTCTGGCAGAGACATCTCCACCGATTCCACAGCAAGTGTAGTTGAGTTTCCCCATGGCTTACCTCCTGCTCCACCTAGAAGTAAGCAAGTAGTCTTTGCTTTGGGGGTCATGTAGCTAAATAACAGTGAGTAATGACCTGCAGAAAACAGTTTTGCCTCGATAAAATCTTGAAAAACCACTAGAAGGTTAGTTTGTAAAAGTGATTTCCACAGGAGGTCATTTAACAAAATAGCCTCTTTGTTGGACTTTCCTACCACCTTCCACTAAAAGGAACATCTGTCAAGGAGCTTTGCTTTATGGGATGTTTAGTTATTGATGCTTATAATTTTTTGCTATGGTGATAGAGCAAAAAGATAAACTCTCTGAGGTAGAGCATCAACTTAAAAAGGCAGAGGCCACTCAACGACGAAAATTGCAGGCTGCCAAGGCAGCTCGGGAGTCTGAGGTCTGTATATTGTTTATTATGTTTTCAAGATTTCGGTTTGTTTGCTTTCCACATGCATCTACCAGTGGATAATGAGAATTTTCATCATATGTGTATATATATATATTCTCTTTGATTCTTTTATAGGCTGAGGCTATTAGGAAAATATTGGGCCAGGATTCCAGCAGAAAGAAGCGAGAAAATAAAATGAAGCAGAGGCAAAAGGAGTTGGCCCAGGTTGCCTACTGTTAGCAATATTGTATGCTCCCACTGTCCCAAAATAAGTTTCCACTTTCAAAAGTAGACGTCTACTTTCCAATTCAATCCTTAATTATGAGATAAGAAATTCTTTACCGCCTTATCATTAGGGGTAAAATTTTCATTTAATCAATTAAAAAGATATATAATGTTTACACATTCTTAAAACTGTGTCTTTCTCATCGTGGACATTTATCTTGGGACGGAGGAGTATTCATATATCCAATAATTCACTTATTTCCTTTCTGATGGCGTTTCACCGTTGTAGGAGAGGATTTCAAATGCTGCCACACTTGCATCAAACACTGTTAGATGGGTGATTGGTCCCACTCAAACAGTTGTGACATTTTCTGATGATATCGGGTTGCCAAACATTTTTGAATCCAAGCCTTGCAGGTTCTAATTGCAATTCTATACAAGAATTGAAATATACTTGTGAATAGTTTTTGGGGGGGTAATAATATGATGTGGAATTATGCAGTTACCCTCCTCCACGCGAGAAATGTGCAGGTCCATCTTGTTCAGAACCATTCAAGTACAGAGATTCGAGGTCGAAACTTCCATTGTGCAGCCTGCAATGCTACAATGCAGTACAAGAGAAATTGCAGGCTAGAGATGTTTGTTGATTCCTGTTCCTATTGTTAATAATAAGAGCCAGAGGTGATGATAGTTTTGATGTGAAATCCTTTGCTGCATTTTCTGTATCATCAGCTAGTTTATTACCATTGCAAATGAGACTAGTGTTGTTCATATTACTTGGGACTTGTAAGAAATAATGGCTTTTAGTACTCCAAATTGATTGCCTACTTTAGTTTATGATCTTATATCCACTTTTTTTTTTTCCATATACAAGAGCATCTTCAACAATTTCTTTAAACTCGAGAAATTGAAGATTTTGGGTCTTAGTTTTTGTTTTAACAGATTTTTTACAACTTTTTTTGAGACGGACAAAGCAAAAGTCGGAATCTCCTAAAGAAGCTTCAATAGTATCTGTATTTTAGAGATTTCAAACATTAATAATATATGAATATTACTAAAATGTTCATTAATTTATAGAAAATTACTTTAACCCTTTTCGATTTGGACATATGCGTGTGATGGGAACCAAGATGATCGTGGAGTTGTCGCAATGATGAATTACAAGTAAATATTTGTGAAATTCCGGATCAAATCGAGTTTTAGATTGAACAAAACTTAATATGGTGCTTTATAACCCGCTTAAATTTGTTGCTTTTGTTGGATCAATATTTTATCGTTAAACTTAATATCTGAGTTGTTTACACATTATAATCAAACTTAGTAGCATTAGAAAGTAATTTGATTTAGGATCAAAAGATTTAATTAACTTTTGAGATGTTGGAAGCTCTTATAAGAATCCATTTTTTGTATCCATGTTATTTTCACCTCATCAAATTAAGAACATACATAATCTTCACAATGACGGTTCTTATAAGAACCCATTTTGTGTGTTCCATGTATTTTTTCAGCATTGATAATAGTTATAAAGTCAATAAAATATATAAAAGAACTAATAAAAGAGTCATTTCACACCAATTTGAAGGTAAGGATCAAGATTTTTGTACATAAATTCAAAAGATGTGAGGTTTTGTAAAGACTTTTTTCAATGACGGTTTTTTTAAGAACCCATTTTTTGCTTATAAGAACCTTCCATTGGAGATGCTCTTATGCCAACTCTTTGCAATAATTTGGGGGCGGGGGGCGAGTTTGGTAAGAAAACACATATCTATCTGAGTATTACGAAATTTACTTAGAATAAAATCTCAATTCTCAGTCTTGATTTAGACACAAATCGTGACCTATAAACCTAGAGAAATTATAACAATAGTTCATTAACACCGAGAATGATTGCTGAAAATTATGGACAAATATTAGGCAATTATGAAAATAAATAGATCCGTTACAAACTGGTGAAAACATCCACTAATCAACATCAATGGGAAAAATCTATCGACATTAGCTCTCATTGATGGCATCTATTGATACTAATGACATATTCATAGAAAACACTAATGAATAACTACTTATCAACCACGTTAATGACTAGCACCAAGTCCTCTCCTCTTGGACCCCACCAAGAGTGCTACCCCTAGAAGGGGGCAAGACCCCTGGAGAAGGTGGGTGCATCGAAAGGAATGAAGATGAGGGGTGGGGTAGGTTACGTTTTTTTAAATCTTTAACAAGTTTAAAATCTTACGTTATTTTTTTAATTAAAAAAGGTATAATAAAACCAGAATATCCCTCACTTAACGGCGATAGTTACCAGTCTTAACGGCCATGGCCAAAACCAGAACAAAACTGAAACCTTGAAGACGTCCCTTGTAATTTTGAGTAGTTATGAATGAAAATCATAGTTTTCCTTAACCTTATGGACGATTTTTGTAATTTAGTCTATCAATTATCATACTTTATCTTAATACGTTAATAAAAGCAACACACATATAGGACTAGTATATACGTATGGATATGAATCTAGACCAATTAATAGTAAATACAACCAAAACTATATTTTGAGGGTTGTGTAATATAGTAATAACATATATTTTATGTATATAGACTCTGATATTTTTGAACGGTTATAAATTGTGTTTTAAAATCTCGACTTCTTGAGAAATTAATTACAACCAGTTATATACATTGAGATATTGATTAGTCTAGACTCGTATTAAAACATCAAAATAGAAACATTTATAAGAACCAATATGTGATAAGCAGCAACTTAATTGACACGTTACACCATGTTCAGTTTATTTTTCGTTACTTTTAGTTTGTGGCTAGTTTTGTGATACATGGAGGGAAAAGAATCTCCCAACTAGTTTTTGTTACCTTAAATTTATTAGCGTAATTTTCATTTACGTTCTAATTTTTTAGCCATCGTCTTTTATTTTTTTTTACTTTCTCATACTTTTACATTATCTTTATTTAGTTTCTTTACTTTCTTGATGCTTTGTAATTTAATTTTAACTTCTTGTAACTTTTATTTCCTCGTTATTTAGATATTGTAGATGTTTATTTAATTTTTCTTATATTAAAAAATGCAAGGAACCAGAGCGATGATAGATCAACAACTTTAACTTGGGTGTAGGGTGAAGTTAAGATACAAAAAACCTATTTTGATGGTAGAAGTTTGTTTAACAAATCTTTCCAACTATTCATTAAGGTTATATTGATAAAAATCACATCTATTGACAAGTTGGTCATTGTTAAAATGTTAAAGTATGATGGACTTAGAGATAAGTCATCTTGAATACATCAACTTGAATGACATGGATTCATACTCGAGAAAGCTAATTAGAACAAGGAGATTTGTTTTCATTCCATACAGTTTTTATACAAGGGTGAATTGTGCCACTGCTTGGACTTTACTTTATTTTAGAAATATTGGAGTTAGTCATTGGATGTATGCCTTTGTCAACCTCGAAATAGTGCCTTACACAAGCTGATGGTTAGATAAAATGAATTATTTGTCATAAAATTTTATCTATTTATTTGCTTTGAAATTTTAACGGATATGTACACCCTTGCTTCATTTTTAATTAATTGTTTATTCCAGTAGTTATTATTAATCGAACCAACAACATTTCTTCGAAAACATTCTTGAAGATATAACCAAACCTCATATTCTATCAATTCAGATCTTCAAAAGGAAAAAAATGATAAACATAATCCCTAATTTATCGCTCCATCCATATCTTCCAAGAAATTCATTGGTAGGGGTGTATAGAAATCAACCGATGCAATTGGGACCGACTGATCCAATTAGAACCAACCGACCATAATTGGATATTCAATTGTAATTGGATCAGATCAAATCGAAAATTTCAACATCCAATTTCGATCATCGGTTCTTGGATGACAGTCCCGAACCAAACCAAACCGATCAACATCCAATTACCCAACCAATTAATCATTCAATGACCATTCAGTTGTCCATCCAACCATTATCCAACTATCATCCAATTACTTTATTTTCAAATTGCTTAAATCGGAATGTGTTTTATGTGAGGCTTTGAATTTTTAACTTCCCTTGTGTTGGTTTTAACACATATTAAAAGTGATTAATCAATATGTATCATTGTTGGAGAATTGGATTGAATTAACACACTGGATGGGTCCGATCCCAGCAGAGCATCCATTGGATATCCGATGGATATCCAATAAAAGAATCCAATGGATGGAACCAAATCGATCCAATTATCTATTGATTGGATTGGGTTGGATCGATTTTTCAATGTTAATCGGATTGAATCGGTTGGCAAAATCCAACATCCAATGGATAATTGGATCGGTTCGGATTAGTCATGGCAACGGCGCGGGGATGGGGCGGGGTTTGCAATCCCGGCCCCGGTCCCGGCCCCGGTTTATAGCCACAGGCCCCGGTCCCTGACGGGTACAGGGATTAACTTTTCGGCCCCGGTCAAAATTCGGTCAACCCCCGGTCAACAGACCAGTACCAAGACTCGGTAAATTTAAAATTAATAAATTTTTTTCCAAGCAACATCATCATCGTTACAGTGTATCTAGTCTTGCCTAATAAAAATAATAATATTTCAAAATTAACAATAATCCAATGAGATGTAAAATTCAAAACAAGTTTTTTCCAAGCAACACATAATTCTAGTAATTTAGTCCCTTAACAATCAACATCTTCATCGTATGCAATCGTTTGATCAAATCCTTTTGGTTCTCCGTGTTTTTTATCTGAAACAAAATAATACAAGTAAAAAAAAATTTATATACCAATTTACATAATTATTATAACAACAATTTATATAATTACTACCTTCAATTTTGTTTCTTAACCAACTTTGGCTGCACATCAAAGCTCTAATTGTTTGCGATTTTAGTCGACTTCGTTGTTTTGTTACCTTGTTTCCACTCATGCTAAAAGCCGATTCTGGAGCTACTGTTGAAATAGGAATGGCCAACACATCCCTCGCAATCCGCTGCATGATAGGAAACTTAGCACTGTTGCACTTCCACCACATTAATATATCAAACCCTTCATCCAGCGGTAACAATTTCTCTGACAAATAATCATCCAACTCAGTCGTTTCAAACATGTCATCCTCAGAGATCATATTCTCAAAATCCAATTGCCAAGAGGCCTTGTTTGAAGAAGATTCCCCCAACTTGAGTCAGTAGTGCCACTTTGTCCTTTCCTTTTATTCTAATCATGTTTCTTTTTGTACTCCTCAAATAAATCATTATTTAGAGTTCGTATCCTCATAACCTCATCTTTTGAGTCCACACCATAAATCTTCGAGAAGAAATAACTTATCAACTTTAACTTATATCTAGGATGTAGAACAATAGCCACACTCATCACATCATGTATGACTCCCCAATATTTATCAAACTTAAGCAACACACTTGATGCCATGTTCCTAATGACGTCATTCTGATCGTCTTGCCAACTCGTAATAGATAATTTTATGTCACAGATCAAGGGGAAGAACATGTTGGAAGTGGGATACTTGGTCCCGAATAATGTCTCAGTCACACGATAAAATAAACCTAACTTATCACATACATTAGTCGCCATTCCTCTTCACTATGTAAAGAAGCATAATGTTTCTTTTTCTTGCTCAAACGAGTAAAGACATCTTTATATTCTAAAGCAACATTCAACATTGTATAAACATGATTTCACCTAGTCTTACAATCAAGTACTAATTCTCTTTCACAATCTACACATAGTTGTCGTGCAACGAGTCTAAAGTCTTAGACTCTTTTAAGAGAACATGTCCAAAATGAGACACTATCCCTAACATTTTTTATTGCTTTCTTAATCATAGAAAACC